ATATAATTTTATGTTGTTCTGTCGTGTATATAAGCAACAGAGTACTTTTTCCATGTTGACATAGCGTCGTCTAAATGCGACAGGAGTTGGGAGAATTCAAAACAGTTATGCAAACCCTTGACTTCATCTCAGGTTTGTCTAACTTTCGAGAATTCTCCCAACACCCTGAGTGTTTAGATGAGGCTATGTAAACACGGAAAAAGTACTCTATTGCTTTTAGAAAATATTTCTCAAAAAAATGCACAAATCTAAAACATCACAACTGTATTTACTTACTCTCATCTAAACACACTTATTGACCAATGAGAATGTGCATTGTATCTCAGTCATTTTATAAAGTTTGATATTTTATGTTTTGTTTTTCTCCAGCTGAATCAAATGATGAACTCAAATGAGTTTCTTTTGCAAGCGATCAGAGATAACAGGCACACACTGGAAATTCATAGGGCATTTGCTGGCTTGTAAAGAAGTCTCTGTGAACTTTGCTAATCCAGTTAATCAGCAAACGACGCTCCATATTGCAGCAAGACGTGGAGATGTTGAACTTATAAAACTGCTGGTTTCTTTTGCGGCTCATGTTAATGGTGGAACTGTTGATCTTATGACACCTTTACATGAACCATGTCTTGGTGGTCATCCTGAGGTCGTAGACGTCCTGATTGCCAAAGGAGCTGATGTATGTATTACTGCTGTATTAGTCTGTCTACAGATCCTCTATTTCATCATGAGTTTGTCAAAATCACAATGAATCAAAGTATTAACCTCAGTGGGTTTTAAAATAATAAACTTGTAGCAAACAATAAATGTCTGTGGACAGTCTATTGCTGTATAGCCTGCAAATATGTCCAGCTTAGTCTGCATGCAGCTATCAATAATTTGGTAGCAGTGTCATGTGAGATGGCTGTAAGGTAACGGAAAGTCTACATACGAGCCAAGTCACCATCAGGCTAGAGCTTATCCCGGTTTCTGTGGCATGAAGTGACTAGGAGTATTTCTACTCCTCCCCCTGAGTAGATGGGATGCTTAAGTCAATTGCAGGGTTACCCCCAGCGTTAAGTTTACTGGTACCCATTTATACACGTGGGTGGAGAGAGGCACTGTGAGAGTTAATTGTCTTACCCAAGAACACAACACAATGTCCCGGGCCAGGGCTCCAACCCGGGCCACTTGGTCCACAGGCGGCCCAAACTCACAATGCAAGGAGTTATTATTTATTTATTTTTTTTTAATCTTTATACGAACATTCAGCGCGTGAAACGTGACATATTTACCGCCGACATCTACTATTACATAACCACCAAGTTTGGTTACGCGAAACGTGTCCTTCAACTTGCAGCATATGGTGGTGTTGTGTTACAATGGTTTGAATTTATAAAGGTTTGTTTGAGGAAAAATAGTAATCGACATTATAACTGAAATTTTGATATTTTTGTAATAAAAATGACTTACCTCAATGCCTTGTTGTCTTTTCTATTGTCATCTTGCTTCTGAGCTCGATCCGATGCCTCTTAAGCGAGTTATCGCTTTTTGGTTTTCGTCCACTAAGAAAGAGTAAAGGCTACACACTCGAATCTGGACTGACCTCTGCTCGAAGCGAAAATAAACCAATGAAATCCCGCCAGCCGCCCCAATTCCCCCGCAGAATCATAATACAGGGTTAAGCGCTCCTTTTCAGTTAAATTCCAAGCCAAATTCATTTCCACAGCGCATGCTACAAAGCTCTAAATCAAAGAAAGCTAGCCATCCGGACTCAGTGATCATGCTGCCGGAACCATCCATGGCCACACTCGAACAAATTGACCCTGACAGGGGGAAGGGAGTGCACAGTTCTCAATAAGCCAGGTACTTTGCTCCACAGTTCCCTAGGGACTGATTGGCTTGTCATAGCAATGCTCCGTCGGCGGCCTGGATTAAAATCTACCCAGGGGAC